TTCTATCATTCCTTAAGAAACTAAGAATAATACGAATAATTTCAGGAGGAATATAAGGAATTTTGGTCATTTTTTTTACTGGAACAACATTTGAACCAGTGAGTGGATAAACAAATAATTGAGGTAAAATACGACCGGGCATTTTTTTGATAAATAATGAATTGAAGATTGATTGAATTGATTTCTGGGAAATTTAGGTATTGAAGAAATATATTGTTAAATTTATTAAATAATGTTGTCTTTTTAATATTTGCTAGATGTTTAGTGTTGAGTTGAAATGAGCGAGCGGAATTTCATGCCTTTATATATTTTCATCGAAGTAAGAACAATTTATTAAAGATAGTAAAAATAATCACATTGATATTAATTCCCATAAATGGACTTACTTTTGTAACCTCGGGCATCTTATTATTGACGGTGTAGTGTTTTGTTTGTGGCTATATTTGTGTGAGTCCAGCCTATTATTACCTTCACCAGCCTATATTATTAAGTTGCCATTAAAAAAAAAAGCTAGGTAACGGTAACCACTAGCCACCAACAATAACGTCAATGTTATTATGTCCAATGAGTCATTTGTTATAACCGAGAACTGGTTTTTTTATTTTGGGTACAATTCGAATGTACGGAATAATTAAAAAAAAATTGCAAAAAACATTTATTTTAGAGACGAATATATTGGATATTTTTAGGAACACCAAATTAATCCGATTCGCACAAAATCACTAGAAATTTTGTTTTCGTTACGGTATATTATAACAATATGCGTCGCCATAATGCGTTAACATATTTACTTTGGCTATGTTATTTCTTTCCTATCGTTATTTACATTTTAATCCAATTCCACGAATATGCGAACCTAAAGTTTTTTTTTTAGAATCGATGGCTGGACACATGCTTGATGACCACAATGTAACAGAATTTTAACTTGTAACATAGAATTTTCGATTTTTCAATCAACTTAATGATTTTTTTATGTACTGCACACATTTAGTACGTATGTATAATAACCATTTGGAATTCTAGAGTAGAATTCGTTACGTATGTATTACACTAGTAGGTTAGTGATGTCCAAAAAAAATTTTACCTTTTCGTGTAACCCGAGCTTCCAGAATTAACTAAATTTACCCAAAATCACCAACTTTACCGTTACTAGCCCAGATTGGAATTTTGCTATCATATAGATGACCAGCATTATCGCCTAGTCAAAGCGCTCGGGTTACACGAAAAGGCGAAATTTTTTGGACATCGCTAACTTACTAGTATTCACGTTGTTACGTTTTGCCTTTGGACTTAGAAACTCATTATATTGGATAATTTCCATATTTGCTATTGAGAAAAAAATGTCATTGAATGTTTTTTGATTGGACCAAATTACAACTTGATTACTGTATCCAGATTATTATTGCTTTTGACATTCAGAAGATAACTGAAAAACTACGTTGGTAGAGAGTAATAACAGTTAATTTGGAATTATAAAATGCATCTTTTATGTCCTTCCAAAAACCTTTTCCAAGTATTTATATGGTTGTATATAATTATAAATAACATCCTGAGATAAGAAAAATAACAAATAAAGAGGAAACAATTTTAACCAATTTTAGAAAATTCCAAATTTTCAGGAACAGATGACATGTGTTACAATTGTTACGAATTCCACTTCTTACTGGTATCTGTAAGTCATCATACCTAGTGCTACAAATCGAAAGTTGAAAAATCGATTAGTTGATCAAGTTGACAACTAATCGATTCCATTTTACCAAACC